TTAATGGTCTCAATTCACCAATCAAAAGAAATAGACTGTCAGAATGGGTCAAGAAGCAAAATCCAACAATATGCTACATACAAAATAATGGTGAAATAAGTTATTTCGAGTAGGTGTTAAAGATGGAACTATAGGGCTTGGGATGTAGCTCAGTGGCACTGCACCTGCCTGGCAAGGTCAAGGTCCTGTGTTTGATCCCTGGTGCTAAAAAAAACCCCCAAAGATTATAGAACTGTATGTCCACTGGAATATCAGTTTAACACATAAAACAAACTGAACTTTGTCACTTAATCAGTTTCTGTTCTAGTAATTAGTGACAGGATAACTGCAGATATGTGATCAGTGGCATCATGAATTCAGAAGAACATAAATCAGTGGTTTTAAATTTGTGTTTAAGTTAATAAAGGATGGGTTATTTTTCTTTTATAATGTGAAGATAGAAAACAGTTCTAATACAATGTGAAGATAAGAAACAATCCTGTCCCTACCTGTAAAACACATAATACATCCTACTCATTTTCATATTTTGCATAGTTTTAACAGTTTTGTTTTTGTTTTTGGGTACTGGAGATCGAACTCAGGATCATACACTTGTGAGGCAGACACAGTGCCACTGAGCTAAACCCCCGCTATTTTTAATAGATTAATGGTTTGGTTTCTTACATTTTCTTCAAGTCTAATCTGTGACTCGATTTGCAAAGTTGTACTTACTACCTCTGAATTTATTTTGTTTTCATGTGTTGAATAGTAATGATAATGCTATCCTCAGAGGCTAAGGATATAAAGCAGTTTTTGAGTCCTTGCTTCAAGGAACTCAGTTGTGTTGGGGAGAGACATGCAGGAATATTCAGTATGATGAGCTAGGTGCTAATAGAGAGGCAAGCAGACTCTTACATGAATACCTGGGCTGCTTGTTTATGATGGAAGAGACAAATAGCTTCCTAAAGGATTTACCCTCTCACTTTTCCAGGCATGCCGAACAAAGGAAATGAAACATGCAAAGGCTCAGAGAAATGAGTTGTTTGGAGCACTGGTAGTAGTGCATATGGCTGAAGACTTGGGCCCAAGTAGAGCAGTGATGGTGAACCTTTTAGTGCTTTCAATGATACAAACAGCCTGCTGTGTCACACATGCCTCAAGTTCAACACCCCTGAAGTAAAAGTAATGACAGGAGATGTGGCTGAAGAAATTGGAAGGAGTGACTTAGTCATCAAATGGGGATCTGCAGGTGGTTTAAGGACAAGAGAAGGGGGAGTGATGAGAGACAAGGCTAAGATCTTAAAGCTCTTTTCATGTGATAAATGAGTTTAGGTTTTGTCTTGGAAGATTCTAGATCATTTATTTTTTTTGGTACCAGGGATTGAACTCAGGGACTTGCGCTTGTGAGGCAGGCAGAAGAACCACTGAGTTAAATCCCTGCCCCAAAAACTATATACTCCTAGTCTTTTTTTTTTTTTGATACCAGGGATCAAACTCGGTACCTTCCACTTGCAAGGTAATCGGCAGAACCACCGCGCTAAATTCTCGGCCCTTCTGGATCATTTTAAAGGAGTTTAAGTCAGGAAGCAGTCTAAACAGATTTCTATTTTAAATGACTGGCAAAATAGATTAGAGTAAGGTGAATCCTACTAGCTCCAGTGAGGAATCCGTTCAAGTAAACTAAACCAAAATAGGAATTTGGGTAAAGGCATCAATAGTGGAAAACAGATGGAGATTTGAGTAATGTTAAGCAGACAATCCACAGGATTAGGTGATCACTGAAGACCAGGGTAATACAGAAGGTGGCTTGTAGTTTTCTCATTTGGATAACTACCTGGTTGGAGACTCCGACCCTGACCCCGACCCCGACCCAGAGCGCGACCAGGACTCAGACCAGGACCGACGGCAACTCGGACGCTGACTGCGACCAGGACTGCGAAGCCGCCGACTTCCACTCCGATCCAGATACCCGTCCCCACACCGATCCTGACCTTGACTCCGCTCTGGATCTCAAAGAGGACTCCAAACAGGACTCCAACAGCAACCGCGACTCGGACGCCCACTCAGACCAGCACTGAGTCTCCTATTGCCTCCGCCACCGCAACCTCCACCGCGACCTGGACCAGGACTCAGATCCCAACCCCGACCCGGACCCCGACCAGGACTCCGACCTCCACTCAGAAGCCCACTCAGACTGCTTCTGCGACTCGGACTGACTGCACCCCGCGGGACCCAGGGCGCCGCCTGGTGGCCCCTAAGCGCCGGGAACGCGCTCCTCTCTCTGCCCTGGACCCAAGCCACACCCGCCGACCACCGTGCAAGACCCCGGAAGAGCAAAGGCCGCCTGGACACTTGTCCACCTTTCTGTCGCATACTTAATAAAACTGGAGGGAAAGGTCAAAAAAAAAAAAAAAGAAGGTATAAGAGAAAAGTAAGTAAAAAGAAAGAAGGGAGTTTAAATAGAATGTGGCAGAGGGTACAGGAAGACTGAGAAAAATTTATGATTAAAACAAATAGCTAATTTAGTTAGTCCTATGAAACAACACTTGGCATGCAAAATTCTAGTGTAGCTTGGTAAGACCAATAACTTACAATTCTATGCTTTTTTGGTTTTTTTCAATACCAGGTATCGAACTTGGGACCGTGTGCTTGCGAGGCAGGCGGCGGAACCACTGAGCTAAATCCTTGGCCTCATTCCTATGCTTTTACTAGCATGTGGACTCTCCTCTATATCTATTTCAAAAAATAATAGCAGATAAAAGGGGGGAGGGGAAACTTAAAGAATACTAAAATAAATAAACCTCTCAGTATTTTTTATACTCCAGTCTACATTTGACTAGGATGGTCTTCCCCATTAGTTCAAAAATGAAGAGACTTTGCAACCTTTGCAGGAGGAAGGGAGAATGCTGAGCTCCAGTTCTCTGTGTATGTGGATGGGAGGTTAGATGTGTCATCCAGTGCTTGAGCTGGTTTGCCACCAATGACTTATTATTCTCTTATCTATTGGGGAGTGGAGCACCTAGACAAAAGGCACCAAGAAACCAATGAAACTCTCACTTTTCTTGAAGGTAGAGTTCTGCTAGGTTTCAGCTCCCCTTCTGTGAGGAAGACTAGCTGAAGGTTTTTGCCTCTCTCTTATGACCTGGCCTCATCCACTGTATGGGTGAAGTTGAGCAGAGCAGCGTTGGTCTGGTACCCAGACTTCTGCTGTTCTTTGGAGTCGCTTTCCTAATCTCTATCCTGCTTTCTACTCAATAACCCTGTGGCTGCTTATATCTGTTTCTTCTATGCCATTCTGGCTGAGTTGGCCATATCAACTCTTGCTTTTACATAACTCTTCTCTGGCTTTCTGTGTTGTGCTAATCTTTCTGACCATATCACCCCTCTCTGGCTTTCTGTACTGCAACATTTTTTTTTTGTCTGTGCCACACAAGAGTCTCTTTCCAGCTCATGAATTCAGTGGTATTTAGAACTTGTCAGAAGAGAGCCCTTCTGCTTGGATTTCAGTAGTGTTTAGGGAGGCAGTGGACATTGTTCACACAGGCACAGAGCTCAGTAGTTTTGGGTGCAGTGGGAGGGAGCCTACACAAATGCAGAGCTCAGTGGAATTTAGGATGTGGTGGAAGACTACTGAGACATTGGTCTAGTCTTTTATCCATCTCTGGATCCTGCTGCTTTTACCCACTGCAGGCCCTTGTGATTATCACTATCTCTTAGATTCCTCAATGCCTAGCTCTGGATCCCTAACTATAATTGTGTCTTTCTCTGTGTCTCCGAAAATCTCTGATCTTAACTGTCACTACCCTTGGAGTGATTCTCCGGTTTTTGCTTTCCTTAGTACCCTGATCTGGGAGAGCTTTCTCTTGCAAATGTCTCATTCACTGGATTCTGTCTCCCAGTGGGAGGAAAGTTAAGAGAGATGAGCACTGGATGGTGACTCATAGGCCAGGCACCAATCAGAGACTGGCAGTAGGTTCTGACTTGGTTTGATCCCTCAGAAGGATTGGAACTTTTCTCAAAGTGGAGTGTTCACCAGACCTGGGCTCCAAGCAGTACCTGGATTGAGACTCAATCCTCCTTCTTATTCTAAAAACCCCTGTTATTTGAATTTAACTAATGGGCTTCTCCATCAAGTTGTCTTCCTGTGGTTAGTTTTGCCCCTATCCACATCTGAGTGCCTATGGACCTTGATGAGTGTCTTCCCAGCATCTCATGAGTGGTGTTGACCTCTAACCAGAAATCATGCTCTTATCATAAGGACATGAGCCAGAAAGCTTTTCTAACATCTTCCCTTTTATGCTTTTCATAGTTATCCATATGAGGTGGTCCTTCGGGGTTATAATTTCTGTTTACCTCCATTGTGAACAAAAAAAATTTGTACATAGAACTGGCAATTAAACATGCTTATTATTAAAAGCATCTTGAAAAGCAATGATTCTGAATTTGTAGAAGAAAATATTTTACTTTTTAGTAGAGATAACATATCAATAGTTTAGCATTACATAAGCATCAACACTTGGAGTAGTCAATGAATATAGGAAATACCATCATTATTCGTGCAGTAAACAATGAAACTCTACAAAATGGACTTTGGATGTTCCTTGGATCTTGATTGCATGGGGAAGTGGGAAAGGAGAGATCAGTGAAGCCATTCTTAATGGAGGAAGGAAGTAGTCTGTGCTCCAATGGAGGGGATAGCAGATGACAGCACAGAAACAGCTAGGCAGTCTTCTCTTCTTCAGACAGGAATGAAGCAGAGCTGGAACGAGGGTGGGACAGAAGTCAATCCATTGACAACTGGAGTGATATCAAGATTCTTTGGATCAACCACTGATTTCAGATTAAAATTTTGTAAAATGGTAGTCAGGAACAAAAACAGCTCCATGCGGGCCAGGGCCTCTCCCACACAAATACGTTTTCCTGAAAATAGAAAAAAATAGTATAGTTATTCCTCATATGTAACTGCCACTGTGTATGAGAAGCAAGGAAAGAAGGAAGAATGGATGGATGGATAGATAACTAGATGAATGGATAGATGGATGGATGGATAGATGGATGGTTGGACAACTAGATATGCAAATAGACAAAACACATATATAACATATGAACTGAATTAAATGTCATATATGATTAAAAAATATGTATTGAGTACTAGCTTCATGCCCACACTATACTAAATATTCCTACATTATAAATTTTCTGGACATTTCAAGTTTATACCTTTGTTTTTCTAGAAAACCATCCACTTTTCTTGTGCCCCTTGTTTTTAGTCTAATCATCAGGAGCATTTTGCATTCTGTCACTTTGTAACACTTGTACTGACCACATACTGTATTTACAAGACTAGATATACATACTTTTGATTAAACTGCCCCATGCCATGAAGTTTCCAGTGTTACAGCATGGTATTCCTTTAGGTTAATTTGAACCTTTTCATACAACATCATATAAATGTCAAATTTCTTTTCCTCTGAACCTTCATTTTTAGACCCTCAGGCAATAAATTCCTACTTTTCTGCATTTCCTCAACAATACACTCATATTCCTTGAGGCATAGGTCACCTGCAATCATAAATTTATACTTATTTTTATTCTTATACTGTGTTAAAATGTTGAAATATGAATTTCTGAAAAGAACTCTTTGCAAGTATGGGATCTACAGTGCTAGGTATAAAGAAAACATCAAAAGACACTGAGTAAATGAGGGGGTTTTAGCACACAGCCTGCAAGGGTGGAGATCCAACAATCAGGAGTCAAGATCATGACTGCAAGAAGTGTAGGGGGCTGTTATTGTAAGGTGAGGAAGGAAGGACACATCCCCAGTGCTTCTATGACCCCAAGGTTATTTGAGGGCAAATCAGACATTCTTGACTAAGAACAGGACCCTTTTTTTTTTTTTTTGCTTTATCACTTCCTTAAAAATACTCTGCCTTGGGCCAGGGATTTAGCTCAGTGGTTCTGGTGCCTGCCTCTCAAGTACAAGGTCCCGAGTTCAATCCCTGGTATCAAAAAGAAAAAAAAATACTCTGCCCTTCCTACTTTCCTACTTTTTGCATCTTTTTATGTATCTTGCATAATAATTTATGGTATTACCATATTGCTTGCTTGATTGTATGTCTTACACTGAGGTATGAGAGTACAGGAAGTTGTCATCTTCTCTCCCACAAGCACTCTCCATAGGAACCTGTGCTTAATTCTCTCATAGCGCTAATATTGCAATGAACTATTTATTCATCTGCTTTCCTGAGTGTGAGGCTCTTGGTACTACTCTGTTCTTTAGGAGAATGCTATATTCATAGCTAGTTCTAGTGTGTGAGCAACAACATCACATAGAAGACAATCACATGTAGAGTTAGATCACTCTTGTGAGTGACAAAAGTTTTATAGAGTATTCCTTTCTTGGAAGAGATGGTGGTACCTACATCATATAAATAAAAGAGAATACAAACAACCTACACTCTAGTATTTGTAACATGAAAGAGATTGATCAACAAATTGAAGCCCCACCCAACAATGACAATGTATCATGAGCAAAGAAGTTCTTGGGCATTGGAAGTGAGTCTGTTCATCATGTACAGATATTTGGCCAGACAAACAGAAGGCACCATGTAAGTTTCAACTGATCTCAAAAAAGTATCTGTCTCTTGATGCATACAGGGAAATGAATTTCTATTACCTGCTGAGAAAGGCATGAAGTAGTCACTTTTTTTAAACTTGCCATTGTCATCTAGAAAGTGTCCAGGGTCAAAAGTCTCAGGTCTTAGAAATTCTTTATTGTCATGTAGCACAGATGTCAATGATATTAATATGTTTGTGCCCTGGAAACAACAGACACAGACAAGCCAAGTTATACAGAAGTCATGCAGATGAAAGATACAAAGAAAATCACATACTTCAGTCTTTTGATTTATAACTGAGGAAACCATGTCCCAAGAGAACCAGTATTATTTCCAGCCAGATAGATGATGTGACAAACAAGGATGACTTTGAGGACAGTGACCTTGCTATTATGTATTCCAATAGCATTTGATGACCCAAGTAACTGGGTATTTGGTGTCATGAGTTCTGATACTTTTCTTTTTTCTCATCACCCAGCTTGGACACTGGTGCCTGTTACTTCTCTAGTTCATCACTTTAATATTCATATATTTTATGTGGATTATTATTCCAAATGGAAGCCTTGTTCTAATGTGAAATATCCAGAATATCTGTTCATAGAACTTTTATGAATAACCATCTATAATTAATGGAATGAAGAGGCAAAGTATTGAATGGGAAAGAAATTTTGCCAGCTATTCTTCTGATAGGGCATTAATATCTAGAATATTTAAAGAACTAAAAAAAATTAGAACATCCAAAATAAAAGACACGATCAAAAAGTGGGTAAGTAAAATGTATGGACACTTCTCAGAGGAAGTACAAATGGATAATACACTTAGGAAAAATGTTCAACATTTCAGGTCATTAGAGAATTGCAAATTAAAATAATACTAGTATGTGCCTGCCTCACAAGTGCAAGGTTCTGAGTTTGATCCCTGGTATCAAAAAACCAAACCAAACACAAATATTTCTTCTTACACCAGAAAGATTGGCAATTAAAGAATAATGAGTGTTGGTTTTGCTGCAGGGATTAAAGATATTTTCTATATTGTTGGTGGGAATGTAAACTAGTACAACCTTGATGGAAATCAGTATGGAGATTTCTCTAAGAAGTAAAAATAGAAATTGACCTATGTACTTCCCTTCTGTGCAACTTCTCAAAAAAGTTAGACATTATATTATAGTGATATATGGGTACCCATGTTTACAACAGCACAATTCACAATAGCTAAATCTTGGAAGCAGCATATATATGTATCAACAAATGAATGGATAAAAAAATAGGGTATTTACGCATCATGAAGTGCTACTCTGCCATAAAGAAATATAACCTCGGGTCATTTGAAGGATCATAGATTAATGTTAACAGGTGGGTGAATAATTTAGGGTGAAAGAGTTCACATTTTTAAAAAATATTCTACCATAGCTTTTTACTAATAACATATAAGACACAAATTATGCAATGAAAATGTCCCCTTATTACAGGGAGAAATTAGCATAACCAATATCAACATTAAGTGAAATTAGTGTCCCCACATCACCAGTGTGACTCAATATTACATATTCAGCACCTCTGTGGTTTTCATGCCAATTTAATAACTAACATCTAATCTTTAGAAAATAGTTACACAAAAATCAGCCTAGGGGGCATTTTACATAAGTGCTGGCCTAGACTCTTCAGTAAGGTTTAGAAACTGAAAGAAAAAAAGTCAGGGAACCATTCATTCTTGATAAAAAGGTCTAATGGAACAAGACAACCACTGTATTTGCCTGTTTCTTGAGTGGACATTGCACTGCAAAAGAAAAAAGCTACAAAGATTATTCTAGAACTATCAGAAACATCTACATGTAGGCTATATATTCTATAACATTACTGTGTCAATGAAAAGTCTTGAATGTAGTTACTGTTACTGCAAAGCAGAGGAAAGCCTTTGTTCATAGGATGATGTCCCAAAGTCTGAAGAGTACACCAGCAGACACGAGATAAAGTACTCATATACACACTTCCATTGACTTAGATTCAAATTTTTTTAAATTAATTTTATTGGTACATTTTATTGGTACATTTTAGGTATGCAATTCATTTACATTTATCAATGGGTGTTTGTACCTGTACATGATGTATCTTGGTTCTTATTTTTTTTCCCATTACCTGTGCGCCCTTCACCCCCTCCACCCTTCTCTATTTACATAGATTGCATTTCCATTTTTTTTCTTTTCTCATAGTTTTTCCTTTCCCTCTTTTCCTTTCCCCTTCCCCTCACTTCACTCCTTCATCTTTGGACGCTTTTTCCTATTTGAAATGATCAATTATTCATTTTAACTCTTGTTTACACTATCAGTTTCTCACACTAGAGAAACTTCGGTATTTACACATGTGTATCCTATTTATTTCACTTAAGAGTATGGCCTCAATATGCATCCATTTAGCTATAAATGAGTCTAGTTTTTCATTCTTT